GAATGGCCTTGTTCCCACATGTCCATCCAGTCTGCTGAGGCCTGGCTGTGGAGAGGCTGAAATCATTTTCCTTCCTCTTTACTTCCTTGTACATCTTTTCACAACCCTCCACCCTACCCCATCCCCCACTGACCAACATGACTATGTTCCTGAAAAAGCTTAACAAGTACAAAGAAAAATATGAAAAAAAAAATCCTCACATAATTCTAGGACCCAGAAATAGTATTATAGTCCCTGTTAACATTTTTTTAATTTACGTAATTACGTGTATATATTTTACAAAGTTAGGCTTATATATTATATATCATGAGCATTTTCTCATGCCCCAAAATATTCTTTATGTACATGACTGATACACTACATAATATTTCATAACAGAATGAACTGTAATTTACTAAACCAATCCCCTATTGGACACTAATGTTGCTTCCAAATATTTACTGGTATAAATATTGCTGTGATGTTCATCATTATACATAAATCTTAACATTCATCTCTGAACAGTAGACTTACTGGCTCAGGAGGCATGATTTTCCTACAAGACTTCATATGGCTGAGTCTATGGTTCTCACACTGGGTTGCACACTGGCGTTCTCTGGGGACCTTCAGAAAGTACCAGTGCTGAGCCCCACCCTCAGAGATTGTGATTTGAGTGGTCTAGGGGGTGGTCAGGGCTAGGAATTCTAAGATTTTTAAGGAGATTCTCAGGTAATACTATTAGGAGTGGGACTCACTGTGCTGCATTGTTTTGAGGGCTGCTTTTAGCTTTAGGTGAAGAGAGACTTTAAATGGTGATAGGAGACCTGATATGTGTAAGGAAGGAGAGGCAGCAAAGTTTGGAACTTTTCCTTAGTTTTATACTCAGAGCTGTTGGCCGAAGCTGATGGCTGACTTGGTGGTACCAAATGCCAGGGAGCATCCAAATACTGTTTTCCTCTACCCCACATAGTATCTGCTTCCTGATGCCTGTGCATCCCTTCTCCCAGCCTTCCTGCCCGTTAGGGGCTGCCGATGGCCTGTCCTTCTGCAGAGACAATGGCAGTTCAACTGAAGTTGATCTTGCCTTCCAGGCACCCTAGAAGAGACACAGTGGATGCTTCAGGGCTTGCCCATCGGCACTGGCTGTGGCCCCCTTTGCTGATATCCAGTCCCTCTAGCTGTCCAGAAGGAAAGGGAACGACTTATTATGGGCTGGGTGTCCTGCTTACACTCTCCCCAAGTCTCGAGCTATCCCTTGGATTTTAAACCTTGTGGCTGAGTCTGATGCTCAGGCAATTTGGGAGGCATTCCCTAACACCCCACAGTCAAATCTGCTTTTACACTCTCATGTCTGGTGCTTCAGGTGGATGCCTGGAGCAGCTGGTGACTGACGGGGCGTCTCTCTCCATGCAGCTAGCTTGGACTTCCTCATAGCATGGTGGTCTCAGGGTAGGCAGAACTTTACCATCTTGGCTGGCTTCCCCCAGAGCATGTGTTCCAAGAGACCTAGGTGGAAGCTGTGACGCTTTTTATGATCTAGCCATGGAATTCGCACACTGTCACTTCCATCACATTCTATTAGACAAAAAGTGAGTCACAGGGCAAGTCCAGATTTAAGGTGTGGGGACTACACAAGGCTGTGAATACCAGGACATGGGGTTCATTGGGGAGCCATCTTTGGAGACGAGTGACCACAGCAACCTCACAGGATTGAGTGGGGTTGTTAGGGTGTCAGGAGAAGGGAGAGCTCCCTACAGCTTATCATCGATATCATTCTCCTTTCCTCTCTCTTGTCCTATTCACCCAGCTTTCATTTTTCCAGCAAATTCTATTATACACACGTTGACCCGGAGAGTGGTAGTAGGAGTGAAGTTTAGGCAGAAAGCAAGAGTGACCTTACCCAAAAGCCAAGTGGGGGCTCTCCTTTGGGCCTGACATCCAGTGCTTTTCAGTACCGTTTCTTCCCCAAACTTGATCCACCAGCTCCCTGATGCCTTATGTCAGGAGCTAAGGCTGAGGTTTCTGAGATTTGATATAAGTAGAGGCATGGAAATGCCATGATCCTTCTATCTGACTCCCCTATGAGCCCACAAGCCTTCTGAGAAAGCTATATCCAAGGGAAGTAGCCATGATGGTATCCAATGACCACTTTACTGATGGCAGGTTGAGGAAAAACTATGATTTCTGAATTATCTGGGCAGATTGGACATGTGTTCTTCGGTAGGAGTGCAACATTCTTTTTCAGGAGCACAAAAATCATTTATAGCTCAATCACCACTCCCAACTCTCTCTGTCTTTTCCCAATAACAGGCACCTAAGCCTTCAGCATGTGTCCAGTCTCTTCAACAGAACCAGAGATAAGACCTGGATATATTTCAAACTTCTCTGAGGAAAAATCCCACTAAGTGTGGTGCTTCGTGTTGGAGAGGTCTCTGTTGACCTTGAGTAGAGGGCTGGTCAGGACCATGCCACTGGATAGCTCCAGGGGGACATCTTGGGTCTTGAAGAGCTCAGACCTCAGGTCACCATCTGCAAAGTTGGCCCCTAAACCTTAGCCTTGGAGATCTTGCCATGCAGCTCTAATTCAAATTTTAAGCATGAATCTAGATTTTTTAATCACAGTGCCAAGCACATGGTCTGGGTGACACATAGCAAAAAACGGGTTCTCGAAAAATACTTGTTGAATAAATGAATGAATGAGAAAGTTCAGAGATATAAAGTGGCTTGCCCAGGGTCACACAGTGAAATAGCAAAGTGGTCTCCCTCTCACTCTCTCCATCCCCTGGAAGTACTTAATTTGAGGTTGATATCATTATCATGGCACTGACCTCTCTCTTCTCAGCATTGCAAATATTTGTGCAGGTGACTTATCTTTCTTGTTAGACAATATGCTCCTCAAGGGCAGGTATTTGCTGTATTCCTCCAAACACCACTTAGGGAGCCTAGGCGAGGGCCTTGCACATGGTAAGAGGTCATAATATGTGTTCTCTCTGATGCTGTAGGTTCTGGGTCTTAGAGTTGCTGTATAGGGCTTCTTGTGGCTTCCCTCACTACGTTGCTGTAAGTTTTTTGTCACTTTTTGCTCTTGTTGGTCCTTCTAATTTGTGGCTTCAAAATTGCCACAGGCTAGAAATCAAAAACCCAAATTGAGAGTGTACACACACACACACACACACACACACACACATACACACAGTGAGTTCTTGTTATTTCTGGCAGTTATGCTCTATAAAGTAACCATGAACACTGAATTAGCCAATACTAAACCATTGCCCTTAGCGGAAATACAGGGTTAGGTTCCTGCAAGCCTCTGGTCACAACACAGAACAATCAGAGCCAGGGCAGGCAGTCTGAGTCCTGATCAGATGTGGTCCAAACCTGATCTACCCCTCAGCATTTTAACTTTGCAAGCCAGCAAATAAGTTAGTTTGCATCACCTTTTTTGTCACTTCCATGTGAACGAGTCTTGATTAATTTATCCACTTAATAAAAAAATGCCTCTTGCTGTATTCTAAAGATGAAATACAACCAATGCTGCTTTATCTCCAATGACAGGAAGCTCTCTACCTAATGAGGCATTTTACAAAGATAACTTTAATGCAAACAACCTGCCTGGTACACAGGCATACAGAAACATTTATTGAGCACTCACTGTGTACTAGGCACTGGCGTAGGCTTTGGAGGTTACAAAATGAATACGACAGCCTAAGCTTTCAAAGATTTCACGGTTTACACTCTTTTCAACTTCTAAGAAATTATTCCTTGTAATTAGTAAGGGAAAAATAATTTTCTTCTTATTGCTTGTTTCACTTATCTATTGTTATAATAGGGCTGCATAAAAAAACAACCATAGAGTCTTGGCTTAGCAACCTACACATGGGCTAGGGTGGCTCTGAGGGTCCCAGCCAGGCTCACTCTCACGTCAGGGGTTGGCTGGGCTTTGGCTGATCTAGACTGGGGTTGGCAGGGCGGCTCCGCTTCTTGCAGGGGGGCTGGGATGGCTCAGTGTCAAGCTACAATGGCTGGGGTGTCTGTTCCACGTATCTCTCTTACTCCTTAGACCAGTGGGCTAGCCAGACATGTTCTTCTCATGATGATAGCTGAGGCCTCCTAAGGCATAGGCTCACTCCACCTTGTTCTATTGGCTAAAGCAAGTCACATGGGTAAGCCCAAAGTCAAAGGGGCAGGGAAATAGTCTGCCTCTTTAGCGGGAGAAATTGCAAAGGCAAATAGCAAAGGACATGACTACAGAGAAGAGTGAGGAATTGGAGCCAATAATGCAATCTACACTCATTCATTGGTCTTAGATCTGCCTTCTAGAAATCCGCTCTAGCTTCACATGGGAGAGGATCACTGACTTATAGATGGCTTAGCTTCTGCTTTGGGGTTGCTCCTCAGATGAACTTGGTGATCTTGCCACGGCTCTCTCCTCTCTGGGCCTCATGTTCCTCAAATGCGGAGCATGGCAAGAGCCGTCTGTCTGTGCAGGGACCCAGAAAGCTGGCTTTGGTACCCTATGATGTGCTCTTGTTGTGAGTTCTCCAGAGGGAGGGCTCTGCCTCATTCCAAGCTGCGCTCTGCAAACTGCTAAGTTCCAGAGAAGCCAATATTAATGGCAATGCATTGCATATGAAGTTATCTTGAATTTGTGTACTTGTTTCCAGAACCACCCTGAGAAACTGTTTGCATCGGGCTAATTTTGCCCATTCTTTTGATAGGAGTATGTTCTGGTAATAGGATCGGACAGGCTACATTATTTCCTTTAATGCCTTCCTAAAGAGAGATTGATTTTCTTGAAGTGAAGTACGATGCATCTCTTCCATTAAACAAATTAAACTGCTGAGGTCAGGAAGGCTACAAGAAGGAGCAGTGCTGTGCTGACAAATGCTTAACAACCAGCTCTCTGGAAGAAAAAGCTCTGATTTGTAGTATTTGCCAATTTCCCTGGTATAAATAATCCCACCGTGGCTGATCTCAAGCTGCCAGTGTGGTGATGTTTCTGAACACAGACGGGAAGAGACGCTCCTGAGCAAGCCTGCTCCAACACAGCACTGCCTGTACTGCTGTATTGTTGAGATGGAAAAATGGGTTCATTTCCTGGCTGTTCCTAGGGGGAGAGGAGGCGGGATTTGTGTCCTATGTAGACTTTCTCAGAGGTTAAAGTCAGCACTGGCTGGATCAGGATGAGTCTAGAGTGCTGACAGGAAGAGCTTCCTCTGGGATGGGGCTGTTTAAAAGTAATAATAACATTGACTGCTTTTTTTTTTCTTGGTGCACTTTTCTCAATATTTAACACGAGTTCTCACAGGTATTCCCAACCAACACCCTGTGAGGCAGGTTGTACTGGAGAATAGTGAAGTGGCGTGCCTCAGGCCACTCTCATTAAGTAGAGACAGAGGTTTGAACCAGACTCCTTGTTGGAAGTCATGACGTTCTCTTGACACCCACTCAGAACTCGAGAGTTTAGAGTTGGGACTCAGAGCTCCTGCTTGCCCTCGCATTGACTGCTCCCTCTCTCTGGTTGTCTTTGTCCACTCTCTCCGTTTGGCAAAGGATCACCTCCTCCGTGAGATGCGGGAACAAGAATCGCCTCCTCTGAGGCTGGTGTGTGTCTTCCTGCCTGTGCTGACTCACACCTGCGGCCCAGTCATAGGCTACATCCAGTGATGAGCAAGTCCAGCTTGCACTGGCTCACAGGAACTGCTTGGTAAGTCTTCAGGAATTTTGCAAGCCATTATTAAAAACCAAATTATATAAACTTCCAATTAAATATGCTATGTTAAAGGGAAAGGGAAAAAATACCCATCGCCTCCTAATTATCTTGCTGTAATCTATGTTCTTGGGGTTATTTATGTCTGTTACATCATATAATGGAAATACCCACTTAATGGTGGCTACTAGACATCTCTTTCCAACTCCATGTTTGGCGACATCACGTTGGTATCTTGAAATCATACATAGTGGGAATATTTACACCATGGAAATCAGCAAATGCTGCAAAATAGAGTTTGGTTTGCTGTTTTATTGATTGGCTAGACTTAAAAAAGTGATGGGGAAACTATGAATAAGGCAGATTAAATTTAGAAGTGTGCCATGTCTGTAACTGCTACATTGAGAGTGGCACAAAACTTAAAAAGACATTTTTCTAATATGTGAAAACTATTATTCATTTCAGCAAAGTCACTCACATCATTGATGAACAAGTGACTTTCCAACATACAACTTTGTATCGCTTTTCTCTTCCTGGTTAATGTGAACAAAAATATCAACCAGCATTGGTAATGGAACTACACTCATTTGTCCGTTGCAACCATAGGTTGGCTACAGATGCAAAAGTTAGACAAAAATCAATGAAAGCGGCTTTCATTTTCAGCCAAGATGGAGCAAGAGGTTTACTCTCCCACTTGAAATGACTTTAAAAAATGGATAAAATATATGAAAATTGGTTCTCAGGACATTGGACATCAGGAATTGAAGGACAGTGAGATACAGGAAACAAATAAGGTGACATCCGTGATTACCCCAGCTTACTGTCTAGAGAGAGTTTCAAGGCAGTGAAACAGAGGAGGGGACTGGATGGAGGGGACAGAGACAGACAGAACCTTGTGGGCTCCCTTAGTTGAGGAGATAGAGCTGGAAGTCTGGAGAGGCAGAGGTGGCAGTGGGGTCATAGCACCAGAGAAGACAGCTTTTCAGAGGGAACACTCCAGAGATCTTCAGAAAGTGTCCCTCCCGTATTCAGCTGACCACTGATCAGTATGACAGCTGTGCTTTACCTGATCTTTACTTGGCTCGGGTTAAAGCCTGAAGGGTTATGCATAAATAATTGTTACAGACTTTCTCTGCATCCCTGTGATGGACTAAAATAGAGACACGTGTAGTTTGAGTTTGGATGCCTCCTTGCACATTGTAAAATATGGTAGATTAGATTTATGTTTCAGTACACACCCTTTAAACTTATTCATCTGGACAATGAAAGAGCCAGACTTTATTTATTCACAGCACATCTGGGATGCAGCATCATTAAAGGGGAGAGATAGAACGGCATGCAGTATTTTGCAATGTATCAGCAACTAGTGGAAATCCTTCACCTATATACATGCGAGATGCGGGTATCTGTATACACACAGACGCAGGCGTCAGACTGCACCGGGTGGCTGGAGCTGAGGTTGCTGTGACTCTGGACTCAGACTTGTGGACAAGCTGGACAAAATTGTTATTTTTCCATGGAATTTATTTAAAAGCATTTATTGAGACTTGAGATGCTGAAGTTAGTGCACTAACCACCAGACTGGACGGCAGGGTGGACACAGCTACCCAGGCTGGGAGCACAGAGTCCCAGTGCTGCAGCCTCTGAGCGGAGAAGGGAGAAAGTTGGCCTCTGTCATTTCCCTGGAGTGTCACTCTGGGTTCCTGGCTGTGAGAAATTATGCTCATATACTACCTCTAAATGCCAGTCATCAAATTTGCAGGTAAAGCCACAGAGACACACATAGACTGTGTTCCTACATGGAGTAAATACTACTGCTACTAAAACTACATTTTTTTTCTGGAGCTAACTATGTGTCAACTGTGCCACATGCCTTTCCACACGTCATCTCACTTAATAGGGGTTAGGGTTACTTCAGTTTAAAATGCACACTCAGAGGTAAAGTTATTTCCTAAGATCTCCCAGTGATGTCTGTCCTACTCCGAAGCTTCACGTTACATAACGGTTCTTAAGGAACAATACTATAAACCGTTTTTATTCATATAGTGCTTTACTGTTGAACATTTATACCCTCTGATGTAATCATTCACACCCTCAAAACCATCGTGCTGTGTAGGTGTCTCTAACTCCATTGTGCAGGTAGGTGTCTCTAACTCCGTTGTTCAGGTAGGGATAGCTGTAGGCGGGTGGTGTGTTGCCCATTTTGGGGCACCTGGGGTGTGGTAGAGCTGGAATCGAAAGTCTGGTGTTTTTGCCCTAAACCCTAACCTCTTCCCACAAGAAGAGAGTGCTCTTACATAAAAGACCACACCGAGTTTGGCGTGGTTTATTCAGACGAATGTTAGTTCACAAAGTTGTTCTTGGCAGCAGTTGGAGGACAGGGAGGGGCTATTTCAAACTCTTTGCAACTTCCACAGTGCTGTTGCCACCTCAACGTGCCATCTAAAGAGGATGCTATCTCTCACCATACACAAAAATCAACTCCAAATCGATTAAAGACTTAAATGTAAGACCTGAAACTGTAAAACTCCTAGACGAAAACATAGCAGAAAAGCTTCATGACATTGATCTTGGCAATAATTTCATGGACATGACATCAAAAGCACAGGCAATAAAAACATAAAAATAAACAAGCAGGACTATATCATACTTGAAACCTTCTGAGCAGCAAAGGAAACAATCAACAGGTGAAAAGGCAACCTATGGAACGGAAGAAGATATTTGCAAACCACATACCTGATAAAGGGTTAATATACAAACTATATAAGTAACTCATACAACTCAATAACAAAAAAACTAATAACTCAATTAAAATATGGGCCAAGGACTTGAATAGACATTTTTCCAAAAAGGACACACGGATGGCCAACAGGTTCATGAAAAGATGCTCAACATCAGTAATTATGAGGGAAATGCAAATCAAAACCACAATGAGATATCACCTTACACCTGTTAGGATGGTTGTTATCAAAAAAACAAAAGAAATAAATGTTGGCAAAGATGTAGAGAAACCAGAACCCTTGAACACCATTGGTGAGAACACAAAATGGTGCAGCTGCTATGGAAAACAGTATGGAGGTTCCTTAAAAAATTAAAAATAGAACTATCATGTGATCCAGCAATCCCACTTCTGAGTATCCCAAAGAATTGATCTCAGGATCTCAAAGAGGTATTAGCACTCCCATGTTCATTGCAGCACTATTCACAATAGCCAAGATGTGGAAAAGTTCATAGACAGATAAATGGATAAAGAAAATGTGGCATGTACATACAATGGAATACTATTCAGCCTTAAAAAGAAGGAAATTCTGCAATATGTGACAACATGGATGACCTTGAGGACATTATACTAAGTGAAATAAGCCAGTCACAGAAGGACAAACACTACGTGGTACCATTTATACGAGGTATCTAAAATAGCCAAATTCATAAAATTGAAGACTAGAATGGTGGTTTCTGTGGGCTGGGCTGGGGAGGGAAATGGGGAGTGATTAACCAACAGGTATAAAGTTTCAGTTTAGCAAGGTGAATAAACTCTAGAGATCTACCGCACAACATTGTACCTACAGTCAACGGCAATGTGTTGTATGCTTAAAGTTAAGAGGACAGATCTCATGTCAAGTGTTTTTACCATAATAAAGCATTTTACAATTAAAAAAAAAAGAACCCAAAACCACTTGACCTCTTAGAACAATACCAAAATGAAAAAAAAAACCAAAAAAAAATAAAAAAGGAAGAACAGAAAGGACTCACATTCCAGTCTGGAAGGTTTCCTTTGGCCTCATGTTGAAGAGCTTAGCCTCCAGATTCAGATCTCTCAGTAGCAGCTCTAACCTTGCCCCTTATGGGCTGGGTGATTTGAAGCAATTTACTTAAGGTCTCTGAGCCTCAGGTTTTCCATCTGCCAATTGGGCATAACCCTGACTCCCAGGGTTATTGTGGGTCTCAACGAGATGATCCACGAGATGTATCCTTTGGTGTAGTCACTGCTCTCAGAAGTGTTGTTTGCGCAGCACGTTCGGGCTGAGCGGGCTCTGGGGGCTCTGCTGTCACTGTGTCGCGCGTGGCGTGTGTGGGAACGGTGAGTGCTGAAGGGGCGTGGGCAGGGCACCGGCAGCTGGCAGCAGCCTCCACAGCTCTTTCTGTACCCCTATCAGTGATGTATGTGGATGAGGGGGGCCTGTTCTCAGAGGAGTGTAATCCTGGGAAAAGGCTAGGCTTCTGCAAAGCTGGCAGATGTGGGTGTGCAGACACTGTCATGTGGGGAATTAGGCCGACGTGTCCTAACTGTCCTCTCGGGGGCTGACCTGCGAGACCTGGGCTACACCTCAGTGAGCTTGTGCTGTGCTCAGAGCTCTCTCCTTTCTCAGTGAGTACAACACGGCGAACGTTTCTCCCCACCGTTCAACATCTAGACTTCCATTTTACCCTTCTGCTTTCTCAACATCACATGTGGTCCTCGTTATTTTAAGGAGTGAAATTATTCAGTTAAAATTTATTTGGAGAATTTTGCAATCTGAGGTGTTGAAAAACCTGCATAGGGAATCCCAACTATTTTAACTGAAAAGTAATAAAGCTCAAAGTATTAAAAATACTTTACAATTTAAACATTTTCCATTTTAACTGGCCTCATGCCCCTACACCAACACATCAGACGTTTAGAGCCTGCCATGGGGAGCCGCGGCATCATCACAGGAATCTGGGAACAAGGGCCTGAGCTCTTGCTGCGGCGATGATTCCTTCCCCGGTGTCCTCGGGGAAGACAAGGTAGACCTCTGAACGTCGTTAAAAGCGGAGCTGGGAAGCACCTGTTGTTCTATCTCTATTTCTTTCTTAACTTTTAAATTTTAAAATTAAAT